GGGGGGGGGGCAGATAACCAATCATTCGTGTCTCCACGTTTTGCATTTCACTAACCAATCTTCGTAGCGTATTTCATTTTTCGCTCTTAGTTTAACCATTAGATATGTACCGACGAGATCCCGAAAACACTAATGTTCGTCACTGTGTTATTTTTCAAACCATGGGAATATTTAAACAATATAGGTCCAGTTTAGGTTAACGCTGATATCAACCCTATCCATTTATTAACCTGTGCTCCTGGTACACGTGACTACCCTTTTGCAGTCAAGGTTGCAGTTGGATGAATGTGTACATCCTCTCCCATGCAGCGCTACATAAAAAAAGCTGCTTTTGTAAATGTGATTTAGCAAAATGTCCCTGTGTGGTTTGTGCCCCAGAGATGAGTTAAAACAACGATGTGTTGTGAAACTGCAACCAACCCTGCGTCGTTTTTGACGGATCGTAAGATGTGCAGAAGCAAGGGCGGATATTTGCAAGAGGAGGAGGTATCATCTCGTAAGAAAGGAATGTAAGGGCCTCTAGGATTACCAGTCGAGATTTCACCATGGCTGAGGACCTACCTGTCTGTGGTCAGAAACAACACGTGTAAGTAATGCACTTTAGCAGTTCTGTCTGCTGCCCCACTAACGAGGTTTTACTTACCCTTCTAAATGGTCTTATTAGACTAATTGCTAGGTTATATCAACGAACCTATCCTGCATACCTGCATGATTCTGCGATGGTTCTTTACTAGTGTGACAACCATCGTGCCATAAATGTGACTGACATGTGTCGCCGAAATCACACCTGTCACTGTCTGCTCTATTTGTCATGTTTAATGGCTGAGAGACCTCCAATTTGACGTGAAAACATATTTTCAACCGAGAACATTCTTTCCAAAGTCTTCCCCATTTCACAGAGATTTGTACTGCACCGATTGTGTCATCATCGTTATCATCGACAGCATGACATCAGTCTTCTACACCAATGCTTCACTGCCGTACAACCATGATTTATTTGAAAGCCTTATTGTAAAGAAAAGAGTAAAGGTGGACGGGGAAGGGACTTAGCGCTAACTTAACACAATCATTCCGGGGTGCCTACACCTCCAGACATTCACTCAGGCGATCTGGATAGAAACTGACCACAAGAACGCCAGTGACATCGGTTGGCAGCCATATCTTGTAGTGTCTCCAACCAGGCACAGTGAGGATCACGCGGTCTCAATCCTGGAAGGCGAGTAGCACCGACAGCACCCAAGCGTTTCGTGATCTCCTTCATACTCCTCTGCCAAGTCAAGGGTTGGCCACCTCTCTGTTTACGCCACTCTGAGTTGGGCATGGAAAACAGCACTCTCTTCGGCATACGTAACACATGTCCCAACCAACGCAGCTTCTGGTGCTGGACACATTCTTCAATGGAAGTACCCGTTACACAACCGAAAACGCGCTTTCTAACTGCCTTGATTGCGTGGTCTTTTAGATAACTAGTGAAGGAACAGGTTGTTGGGAATTGTACCATTCAGTATTATGTGTGTAATATTAGGCACAGTGACATGGTGTTTGTGCAGCGGTATCTTCTACCACAGAAATTATAAAATTCTGGGATCACAAATTAAAGCATAACACACTGGACTACATCACATCGATCGAGAACCAAAAATTTCACTGTGTTCCCCCCTTCAAGTGCATTTTTCCCAATTTATGCAACGTTCACCGACTCGCACTCGATTACTCGGTCTTCACTTTTGCTCTGGGAGCACTGTACCGTTTAGGTAGAAGGATTTGTTTCACATCCCTTACTTTGTAGATGTTGGATGCAGCTACTTCGACAACTGATGTTGGGCACAATTCCCTAGATAATGAGAAATGCCGGGGCTGTATCACACTTTGGAGGCAACTTCAGGACTACGTACGTCTATACGGAAGGCTGAAAATCCACTGCGCAAAGCCAACAGCCGACCTGATCTCCACAGGACCTTTGGGGGAACGCGACAACGATAGTGAGTGTTTCACGACAGCACACCTTCCTTCATCTAGCGGAGCACAGGAGCCCTGTGCAGAAGACTGCTCAGATGGATCCCCGCGTTGTGGAAAGCGACGAACAAAAGTATGTGCGAGCACCGTCCTATAAAAACACGTTTTGTAACTTAATAAGTGCGCACCAGACTCGCAGAGGTGAGTTCCCTAGGTAGATGTGATGGCTGCAAGCGACACTTGATTCAAGCTAATTTGTGTGACAGCAGTCATGTGGATAAGGTTTTTTAAAGGGATACGCTTCATCCGATTGGCATACGTAATGCATAACATGGCCAACAACCATGCGATTTTAGTAAATTCGCTTAACGTTACGAAATGATGTGGACTTGATATACAGTTTCGCTGTTACACGTGAGCAACACTCAGGTCCAGCAACCAGTAATTTCTACCCCCTCTCCGATATTTATCTTGTAATCACAGACGCCTATACGGTCATGATCGCCTTCATCCTAGGTCGCTCGACGGTGGAAAATGGTTCGTCAGCGCTAATCAGGTGTATTGTAAACTGAGGACACAATTCAAACAAAAATCGTAATTCGCTGGTAGTGTCCGCTGTCAATGTGACTGATGACCGTTTTGAGGTTAAATGAAAGGCTTGCTTCAGGGCACAGCGTAATCGGATAAGCTATTCATAGCCATGACCACCTTCCCCTCTTGACAAGGACACAATCCCCAGTCGGTTCTTCTTCCGTGCATTCCCATCGCCCCTGTGACGTTCAGCTCGGGCTGATTTTCTAATTCAGATGATAATGTCAATGAATCCACAGACCGCAAGTAAATGTGGGTTCATTAGGACATGATTTGGAACTCACTAGTGAAGCGTTTCGTCTGCAATACAGCTGGATAAGTTGGGAGGGCGCTGTTGGTGTCTGGGACAGGTCTCCCTACTTCACCACACGTTACCATCCCGTAACCCAGTGGGTCTGATAAAAAGTTTTCATACCACACTATTCCGCACTACGTTTCATTGCACTATACGACACCACATTATATCACACCTCAATCTACGTACGCTGTACTATACCATACCGGGCTTTACTGTATTCTAACTTGTCATACTTTGTGCCTGATGTGCGAGTCTTGTCTGTGCTAGCGCACACTGCGCCTTGAAGAGCATTCACCATTGTTTGTCCTTTCTTTGGTTGTTGGTCTTTAGACGCGTGTTCCCATACCAAAATCTTTACATACTTTGGGATTCACCTCATCAGACTGGCACTGTCCTTGGCATGATTTCGAATGAGACGTTTCTCTCTTTTCTCCCATATTCTCCTGTTCCTCTCTCGCATCCATCGCTTGCATTCACTTTTTATGTTTGTGACCATGCTCTTCAAAAATAAATGATAATCGTAGCCGTATATGAGTACTATCCTTGGCGCGGTTAATTTCGCTTCATTGGTAACATCAGGTGTCCCGTTTTTTTGTCAATCGTTCTATGCGGAATCCTTCTATCGTGCTTTCCAAATCTCTAGAGTGCTTGTCTGTTAACTGGTCCACGTGTTCCAATGTGCGTGACAAATGCGTATTCTGAACTGGATGATACTGCGTTTCAATCGGACCTAAGGGACAATGGTTGGACGAGTGATCATACTGAATCCCACCCTGATTAGTGAGTTATTTAACGCCCATACTTTATATAATCGGTCTTTTGTTTATATATTCATTCCATCCGTGCACTCCCATGTGATGTATGGTATCCATCCACCAGTAATTTCCACTAATAACAACGCGAGTTTCCATCCGTAGCCATAATAGATCGATAATCCGAACTAATTTCTGTGAAACTCGTAGTGTTTGTGCCTTGTTGTTGCAGTCTGTACACATCATCACTCTACTTTACGTCAGACTTCATACCAAACAAACTTTGGACGAGAGATTGAGCTGACGTCTCCCGTTTGTGTCAAGTTAAATTCTAGGCTAGCGCGTAACTCCAGTGATGTGGCACACATCTTTTGTTTGTAGTCTGCATAAAGTTCCTCGGAACTTGCGACGGACAGTTGTCGGGACCACGGAACGACCCTGGACAAGAGAAGCTAATAAATTTTTTGTGAAAAGAAGAAGAGGAGAAACGAACGTCGTTTCCCGAAGTGATGCTTGGTCACAGCTAAAAGATAACCTCTTAGAGCTCCCAAAAGGAGACAGAAACCTTACAACGTTTGTCAGAAGTGGTCTCTTCGGACGGGTGCTCACTCTGTTTGTGTGGACGTGAAAATGGCTTGTACGCACCTTCAATCGATTACTTCATTTCGCCATTTCATTCAAGGACTTCCGTGATCTTGTTGCTTCACCGAAGCATTCCCAAATCGTCCGTTTTTCACGTTAGCCATGCTTTCCACTCAAGGTCACAGTGCGCTTCCTCGTTGCACGCGCAACCGCATTTTTAGCTGACACCATGACGTGGCAAAATAACTGACGAATACGGTGTGAAGGAAAAATGTCCTTTGGTTTCTCACAGCATGAAAACTGTAATCTATGTTTATTTGAGTAACGTTGCTTGGTGAGTTTTGCTGTTTATTGGGCTTGATGGCATGCATGTTGCTTCCTCAAGGTCGACAGTTTTCCTTACTCTTTGCCACCTTTTTACTGAGTCGTCACCTCACTCTCTGGTGCCCTAAGTGACGGTTGACTGGTTTTAGCAGCAAATTTAGCACCAGCACGGGGATCGACTATTACGGCTATCAAGCCGGACACCTCAGCTACTTTCGTATCTTCCTATGAATAGACTTTAGAGTGCATTCTGGTAGGGCATTTGGAAGGTACGAGGTAAGCTGGTTTGCATCGATCAACCGAAGGATATGCTGGACATAATTCTTATACTTCAGGGACAGTTAGTTGAAAAGACATCTTGGTTGGCGTAACGAAGTCACAGGGCGTCTTCGTCGGAGTTGTCAGGTGAATTGGCCTATTGGATATGTGTTCAAATCTCGACAGGGCCACCTGCATTTGCTCAGTGGTTACAAACAGTCTGTGTGAATATCTTCACCCTACGACAGATTCTTGAACAGCGACACTGCTACCAGCAACTAACGATGGATATGATCTGAAAGGTGCCTTTGACTCTGTGAAACCGTCAGGCACTTTTGCAATGTCTGTGGAGCAGAGGTGTCTCGCATAAATTCTGGACCTTCCATAAGGCGCTGTACGCTAACTCTCGAGGCCGTGTGGAGGTCTACGGGAAGCTCTCGTCTGAGTTCAGTCAGGCACTCAATGTCTGTGGAGCAGAGGTGTCTCGCATAAATTCTGGACCTTCCATAAGGCGCTGTACGCTAACTCTCGAGGCCGTGTGTGTGTCTACGGGAAGCTCTCGTCTGAGTTCACCGCATCAAATGGTGCCAGACAGGGTTGTCCTCTTTCATCTTTCCTCTTCAACTTCGTCATTGAAACGATTATGAAAGACTCACGATCAGCCTCTAATGCTTGTGAGGTCGAAGTGCTCCCTGGGTGTCCGCTCACAAATATCGAGTACGTGGACAACATAGCTGTTGTTGGATCCGACCCCGTGTTAATCTAAACAATATTAAATAATATAGATAATTCCGCCTCATGGTTTGGCATGCGCTTCACACCTGCAAAGTGCTACTGCAAGACTGGGTGGACGCGAACCCTAGCCTAGGTAGTTGACAAATTTGTTCATTTGGGCAGCTGTATCAGTTTTGGTGGTCTCGCGAACGATAATATTTCCATCCGGAATTGGATGGCCAAAGTAGCTTTTGTGAACCCGTGTCACCTGTGGCGTAGGCGTGACATCAGCTTCTCTGTCAAGGGTCGAGTTTACAATGCTGCGGTGGGCTCCATATTACTATATGGATCAGGAACCCGGCCGCTGCGCGCCGAGGACGTCAAAAGACTATCAGTGTTTGA